TCTTCTGCTGTCTTTCCTCGGGAGCGCAACCACATGGGTCAGCTGCAAACATTTCTCACCCTGAGTGTCCGACCACTGTGACCTTTCTGGGGATGTCCCCAGGTCGGTGGTTGTGCACCTTGATCACCTCATGAGGTGTTGCTCAATGAAGGTAGTTGCAAACATGGCGACCCTCTTTTTTGGGGATTCCACCTTTGAAAGGCGATACAGCACAACACGGCAGTCCCAAATATGGTTTATGTGGTCCGCTTGGCTGCGTCAGCAATACATCGACTCGTCTCAAAGTACTCATTCGGTGACTGTTCAAGTGGAAAACGAAAGACGCACCTACTTGATATAACAAAGTCAGTGGGGTTGTGGACAGTGCTTCACATACCCCATGTCACGCCACCCCTCCAAGCAGTGCTTTGTAGACCTGCGGCCTTTGTACAAAGTTCCAGAATTGACACAACCCACGGAGTTTCAGTCTTGAAACACAAAAAGACAAACAATGAAAGTGTGTTGGCATTTCTCCCTGAGAAATGTCCCAACATGGTCTGAAAATCGATGTGTGTTGAAATAACACAGCCTAACAAAACAACTTGGCAGTGGGTGTCATCGCGGGTCCCCGGGGTGCAGTGCCAAACTCCTATCTTGGAGTTTCCCAATATTGAGACCAAAACAACTGGGTGTGTCCTCAAACAGGGAGCCCGAAAGTGGTCTTGCTTCCTGTTGTGTTCTCTTCCACATCCTCCTTTCCGGAGGGCCTCTATTTTGATATTCCCAAGATCGTATCCCTTTTGGGAGTCATCTACCGATCCCCAAATTCAGGTTTCCCTACTGTGGATGGACGAAATCCTGCATCACTTTGAAACCATGGGAAGCTGTTGTTTGTGGGCATTTACAGGGCAATCATCATACCAGGGTTCCTTAGGTGGTGCAGGATCTCGTCCATCCGCAGTATGCTGAAACATCAAGACCTCCGGCTACACGTCAGTGTCCCGCCTTTGGAGGCACCACGGCCGTGGAGGGCTGCTTGCCCGCCGGCAGGGCCTCGAGTCAAGGCATGGGATACCGAGCGCCCTGAGATGTGTAGAGCGCAACCCAAAAGGCTCACTCCAAAAAGAGGCACGCCCATGTGAAAGAATATGAGCTGCTCACGAGTTACCGTGTCTTCCACAATGCCGAATCAGCTTCATCTGGTTTTGGACTCGTTTTGGAGCAACATTGAGGAAACCATGGTGGAACATCTCGCCTTGCATCGTTTTGCGCTTTCCACGCTTTCAAAGCTCACAAATCGAAACCTTTGCAGCACAAGTGCGCCAACAGCTCCAGCTCAAAAAATGCAACTGTTCTGTACAAGTGTTGTACGCGAAGTGCACGTTGGCAGATCCAAATCGGACAACGCAACTTTACAGTACACTCGGAAAGCGCAACTTTACAGCACACGTGAGCAAGAACATACAACAGCCAAAACGAGTCCAGAACGAGCCCAAAACGAGTTCGTGACGAATGTCAAGGCTCAGAAGTGAGCTTGCCAAGGTGTACTTCGCATACTGCACTTGTACCCATAAAGTGTGATTTCTGAGCTGAAACTGCCAAGCACGCTTCACGTACCTCGTTACGCATGGTTTTCTACTGCACTATCTCGCTCTGTTCTCGTTAATTCGGAGGGGATCATCTCGTTCACAAGGAAGCGTCAACTCTTTGGAGTATTCTGACCGTATCAATAAACATTCAATTGACGGACAAAAGGCCAGTCGCGCCTGTATGTCCTTGGTCCTTTGGCCTGCAACTGCCCTGTAAACACCATCAATGCGTGCACAATGTTCTTGAAAGAGGAAATGAGTGGACCATGGACGTGCTCAAAATCTGGGACCTGCCAAAGGACGTGTCACAGGTGAAGAAACAACCAGCTCGGCCCTTGAGCTGCCGGACACTTTCAGCCACATCTCGCATCTGACCTGGAAGCCCCCATGACGCAAAGATCAGTCATGCCTAGCTGACCTGCTAGGACTCGATTATCCTGGGTTCATTAAGCAATCCAATCGGACCTGGTAGGATTACGGGCAGCTGCCTTGTGATTCTCCATCATGCCGATTTCCTATTACTCTGCACATGATGCCAGGTGCTTCCTTCAGCCACAGTCGACCAAAGTTGATTCAAACACGGGTGTGTCATGAAGCCCCATCCCGAATCAGGAAGCGAGAATCAGCACAACAGGGCTCGCATGCTTACGATGAATTCAGTCCTGAGCTCAAAGCGGGCACAGAAAGCAGAAAACTGTCTGCTTCCCCGTCAGTGGTGAGATTTTGCAATCAGTAGGAGGCGTGTCAATATGGCAGTTGCGCCATGCCGTCGAAGCCTCCCCCCCACATAGGCCAATCCCCAAGGCATTCCACATAAAACCCGAATGAGGGATCCTCGGAAGCAGAGCTGCAACGTGTATTATATAGGCCTCATCTCTTGCATGTGTGAAGAGTTGCTCTCATACACTTCCAATATCTGGTACGCATTAAGG